CGTGTGTGTGTGTGTGTGTGTGTGTGTATATATATATATATATATATACACACCCGTTGTTCTTAAAAGGGTATTATCCTTTGGATACCTGGTCAATTAAAATAAATAAATAGATAAATAAAATTACAAGTGGCTTAAGATGCTACATCTTCCCTTGCGCCAATAATTGTGATTTTACACTCACATTTTTTTTCTGTATTTTTAAAATGTTTTCCTCTCCCTGCTGCTGTGGGAAAGACCCACATAACATGAAGGAAAACAGGAAATACAAAGAAATGAGTTTTAACAAAGTGCTGTCAAATGTGGAAAAAAAAGGAAAAGAAAAAAAAGAGACACACACTTTTCTCTTGTCTACTGCAATTATAGTAATCTTAGGCCCTGGTCCCACAAATACTGGCACACTCATGTAATTTTAAGCATGGGGGTAGCACCACTTAATTTAATTGCCATTGAAATCTGTGTTCATTTTGAATTCAGTGGGCTAATTCGTGTGCTTAAAGTTATGCATGTGCTTAAGTCCTTGCATGATTGGAACCTTAAATGCTGCTTTTAACTATAGTAGATGAAAAATGTTTAGACAGACATCTGTTTGTTTTCTTTTAATGTCAGTGGTGTCCCTTTGGAGAGATGCTTCCAAATATAATTGATCTTTACATACTTCTTAAATAATTATTATTTACCCACAATCCAATATGAATAGACACATCTAATACAATTTTATTTTAAATTTCAGTGACAACTGGGTTTAAACATTCCTCCCTCATTTTTGGTAACAGGCTAGTGCATGACCATGAAACTGACGGGAGTCAGAATGTGAAACTGACCAACCTAGGGTCAGATACTCAATCGATGAAACTTGATGGAACTACATTGGCTTCAATGCCTAATAACTTCCCATAGAGAACGGACTATGGGCAACGTTCCTCAACTGGTGTAAATTATTGTAACTCCAGTGGTGTCAATGGGCTTTGTCAGGTTACACCAGCTGACGATCTCATACCTAACTCCCCTGTCCCAATCCGGATGAAATGATTTATTTACTGGCATAGTGCTTGGGTGGTGTTGTGCAGACATTTGGGGCAACCAGGTCCCTGTCTTTATGACTTTAGATTATTTCTGATCTGAAATGCAAAATTAAATAAATATCATAAATAGTCGAAAAAAACAGATTAGATGTAATAAATTCATATTTGATAATCCCAAGGTGTTATGAGTATCACAGGAAGGTATTTTTCATATAGGCACATGCATAAGTGCTTCTCCGAATAAGGATGCATTTAAATACATGCTTACATACTTTCCTGAACTGGGAGCCTTTGAGAAGTACTGAGCAACGACAGCTCCCATTGATTCCGATTGCAGTTGTGGATGTGCAAAGCAGGCCATTATTAGCATCAGGTTACAGAGCTTGCCCAGGGCAGAATTAAGGTCTAGCCACAGTAGGCCAACGCCTATGGGCCCAGCCCCCAGTTTCAGAATGAAGCATTCATTTTTTTTTTTAAATGAGTGGAACTTTCAAAAGCATCTAAGTGACTTTAGAGCACAATTCTCTTTGACTTTCAGTGGGACTTGTGCTCCTAAATCACACAAGTGCTTTGGAAAATCCCATCCCATGTTTATGTGAAAAAAGTCTGAAAATTTGAACCAACTGTAAACTAATTCAGTGACCTCTGAGTCTGCAGAGAGCCTGAAACCATTGCTCTGAGATGGGGGAGCTGCCCGCAGTGTAACCGATGCAGTGGTGTCTCAAGCAGAGGGAGAAAGAGCAGCCACTAAAGCCAGGGAGGAACCCCCCTGAGTACACAACCACTACCAAATTGACTAGCCTAGGGCCCCAGGCTGCTTTAAACACACCTGCACTGTGTTTGACTGATTAATGCCACTTACACGTGCATTCAAATCCATCACCCAAAGCCAAATCCCCAATTTGCAAAGAAAATCGAATGGTAATAGTGACCAACCAGCAGAGCGAATATAATCCCTGCTCTGTAAGCTCAACGGGCTTGTCTCTGTATCAGTAAATGCATAGGGTAAATCGACAGACACAGCAGAGAAATCTGAAAGATGATTTCAGTAATAGCTGTGTGCGTCTGGGGAGAAATGCCACAATGCAATAAAAAGTGAGACCAGACACCATTCCCATTGTCCAGAAGATTTAATGCACCTATAAATTGCTCCTCGATAGACACACACACAAATAAACAAGAGGAGCTGCAGGCTGCCTCCGTGGTTGATTCATATTAACATGCTGTATCTTTGCTAGGTTATCAAACTCACCTTTGAAGAATTTGACTTGGAAAGAGGATACGACACGCTGACAGTGGGTGATGGAGGGCAGGTTGGAGACCAGAAAACTGTGCTCTATGTGTAAGTAGTTTCTTTTAGCACTGTGCAAATCAGTACACGAGTTTTGCATCAGGATATTTACTGTAGGTGTTTGGATTCTGGAGGGGCCAGGGCCTGTTTGCTAGAAGCCAGTGAATGTTTTATGTGATGGTCTGCAGTAGAGAATGAAAGGAATGTTCTTGCTGGAGCCTTGTATTTCCTTCCTAGTCACCTTATCTTCAGGTCCATCCAGGGAAGCCGTCAGAATCTTCGTTCCCTCATCCGGCTGCTTTCATCCTTCTGGGATGTCTCTGTGTCTGGACACTTGACAGAAGAAAGAGAGAGACTAGCAATAGCTAGGAAGCTGAATGCGTGGGGTCAGAAATCTAGTGCGAGAGCAAATACTGAAGAAGCAGGAATTGAAAATAGATTGCTCTTGATTCTGAATTGCTCTGCATCTTGTGCAATTGTTTTACCCGTGCAAAGTGCGTGTAAATCATTACCATTTTGAGTTGGTAGCATTTTATGCTCATTTTGCACTGGTGTAAATGGTAACACAAGGCCCAAGGCAATAGAGAATCTGGTCCACTGAATTGATATCGGTTCCTTTACAGAGGTAATATGCAGTGGCAGTTATCTCGGTAGAGAGAACATTGTGAGGCATCCTTTTGCTTATAGGGCTACGTTCCATCTTTGTTCTGCATGCAAAAGTCGCATTGCTGGCTAAGCAATTCTGCTCAGTTGTCAAGGAAAGACTGTGGTCCATCTGATAACCTAGGCCACACCTACCATGCCAAAGCAAGGTTGGACTACAACTTTTGATAGTAAATGATCATTCAAACCATGGTGAATGGCGTCATGCTAACTGCCTGGAAATAAGTACTTCGTGATAGGGCTAACTTACGAGGATGTTAACGCCATTACAGAGCTCCTGTATAGTAACTGGAGAGACGGTTTTGCTTTAAGCTGAAGGCATATCTGAATTATTTGTGTGAGGCTGCCTGAGAAAAGCAAGAGAGACTAGCAATAGCTAGGAAGTGGAATGCATGGGGTCAGATATCCAATGCAAGAGCAAATGCCAAACAAGCAGGAATTGAAAGTGGAGCATGCCTGACTTGCTGTGCATCATGTGCAGTTGTCTTTACCTGTGCAAAGTGCATGTAAACATGGAGCTTTGCAGACTCAGTGAGAGGCATGCCCTGCCCCAAAGAGCTTACAATCTAAGCATCACTTCTTGGGGTCCTGAATCAGGCAAAACTCTCACTGAGGTCACTGTGTGTAGGTTCGGGTGGACTAAGTAAAAACCGAGACGGGACCTCAGAATTTGGACCTAGGGGAATAAGTGTACATAGTGGTAAAGGTCTCAGTTGTCCGTTGGGGTTTCTCTCTACTCCATACTTTGTGGATTATCTGGTTAAAACTGTGCGCACACCTGTGAATAAATAACTCCACAGCAGGCTTTGACTACCCTTCTGCAACACGAAGATAAGTCAAGTTCTTTTAAATATCAAGCAGGATGGGACAAACCTTAAAGAGAAAATGAGGCCTGGAAGCCCCAGTCTCCAATATACCAATTTCTGAGGGTGTGCCGCTGATCTTATTCCAGTAGGTCCCATCTCCCCTCCACAGCCTGAAGGACAGGGGATGAGGGGGAGCACCAGTTGCTGAAAATGACATCAGTTCAAATCCAGCTCCAGTATATGGAAGGAGCCGTAGCTTTAATCATACAATATACTGAAGGAGAATGCAGTGTAGTTTTCTATAGCTTTGTAGAGAGAAGCAGCCTGTTATGATGGTTAGAGGAGGCAACTGGGAGCTTTAGCTTTAATATAGCTAGCACACTACAAATAGCAGTGAAAACACTGCAGCATGGACTCTGACATGGGTTAGGAATGGCAGTGTGAACCCAAGGTTATGGGAAGCCATCTACAGCCCGTGCTGAAGCCCATTTCACCATGTGTTCACTGATATTTTTAGCTGTGCTTGCTAAATTAAAGCCGGCCTGGGTACTCCTACCCACCTGCAATTATGTGCCTCATTGCAGTGTAGATCTACCCTGAGGTGCTGGAACAGATACTGACCTCTTCTACAAGTCTGACCTTTAACCTTTATGTTGCATCCCTTTCCTGTCTCTGACATGGAGAAGATGATAACTGACCATTGGGGACTGGTGAACCTCATTGAGTGTGAGGTTTTGTAAACGTCTTTAACTCTGTTTTTTTAGTTCATGTGCAGAGGCAGAGAAGGATGATCATCTCCATATTACAACTTTCCCAAGATTGCAAAGAGTGTTTGGGAGAACTGGGAACTGATCCAAGTTCTCTGGGGTCCTAGTTCAGTGCCTTAACCACTAGGCTCTCCTTCCTCTTTATGTAGATATATTTCAGCTAAAGAAAATGTGTGCCATGCATTATGCATAGAATAACTGTCCAAAAGCCTGGCTGGCATAAGTGGTTGCCCTATTTACTATTTATAACCTATTTCTTATTATATTAGATTTTTTTCTCTCTTCTCATTTTGCCTCTGTCTGTCTGTCTGCTTCTCTGATTTCATTTTGCTTCATTTTTCACTCTTTTTCCTCTGGAATTTCTCTCTGCCTTCTCTCCTTCTTTTGCACTGTCTCTGTTCAGCGGAGTGTGAACTCCAGTGACATTTGAGTCAACGTTTCTCACCCGCGGTGTATATAACTCTGAAGTATGACTTGTGAAAGTACTTGTAATTAAAGTGTCGCAGAACATTTCACAGCTGATTGGTCTGACCATAGAAATTAGAGCAGAGGAAATAGACTGTAATAAATAATTTAGTCAATGGCTAGTCCCTCATTTTCACGTTGTGGGATGTCCATGAACAGATGGAATCAGTGTGATCTAGTGAATAGAGTACTACATGGGGACTCAGAAGATCTGGCTCTGCCACTGGCCTGCTGGGTGTCCTTGGGCAAGTCACTTCCCCTCTCTGTGCCTCAGTTTCCCCATTTGTAAAAGGGGGATGATGACACTGATTCTACTTTATGAAGCGCTTTGAGCTGTGCTGATGAAAAGCACTATGTAAGAGCCAGGCAATGATATTATCATCAAGATCATCCCTGATTTAATCTTGGTGTTTAATCGGCCCACATTTTTTAATATCAGATACTCAGCACCTTGCTACTGCAAATTTGGAATCTCTGTTGCTTAGCCATGATTGGTTGCACAAGTCACACAATATCGTTTCTGTTTTCTGCCTGGATGAGTGTAACTCTTACCATCAAGTGAATGGTGCAAAGATGTGCAGGGAGTGAATTTTCAATCCCAGAGTGCGAGCTGAAAATGCACTAGTGAGAGCGGGTGCAAAAGGAGCACAAAGGCAGCAGAAGTGAATGACTATTTGGGGGGTGACATCCTGCAGCATTCGCCCAGCTCTAGTGCAGATTCAATGAAACCTGCATGCATGCATACCCGCTGGCTACAGCTACTGGCTGAGAGAGCTGGAGTCAGATTCTGAACCCACTAGCCTTGACCAGTTCTTGTCTGCTTGTTAGGACCTGAATTCTGCATCCACTGAAACCAAGAGGAAAATTCTGAATGACTTTAATGGTGCAGAATGGTAAACTATCGGAGCGCCAAACTGAGCTGTGGGAGCTTGGTGGTTGTCATTCTCCTTTCTTGCAGCCCAGTACGACGTCCGTGTCCTTCAGATGAGATGGAGACGCTTAGGCTGAGATGTTGGGGATTCAGCTGCCCAGTGTCCATTAACATTAATTGGAATTGGGCATCCAAATCCTTCCTTCAACTGTGAACATCTCAGCCTGACTGTCTTCAGGAAGGTGAAGTTTGAAAGCGTGTGTGAAACCTTGAGGCAATGATCTTTTCCTCTTTGTCAATCCTCCATCTCCCTTCCTGTGTCTGCCTCTTTCAAAAACCCCAAAGAGGAATTGGTGCTGGCGGTGCACAGCCACTGTGGTCGCTCACATGCAGTGCTGGTTTGCAATAATTTTGCCTCACGAGCTCTGGGATCAATTTAATCAAGCACACTTTCAGGCGCTCTTATTGCTAGATCTGTGGATGATGCAGGACATACAGCAAATGTGTGTGTACGTTTATGCAGTTGTTCCAAAAAGTGACCACCTCATCCATTGTAAGCACTGGATTTAAAAATACATGAATAACACGATTTAAAAATACATCAAATAATACTTTAGCTGCAGCAGTCCTATTTAATATAGAATCATAGAATCATAGAATATCAGGGTTGGAAGGGACCTCAAGAGGTCATCTAGTCCAACCCCCTGCTCAAAGCAGGACCAATTCCCAACTAAATCATCCCAGCCAGGGCTTTGTCAAGCCGGGCCTTAAAAACCTCCAAGGAAGGAGACTCCACCGCCTCCCTAGGTAACACATTCCAGTGTTTCACCACCCTCCTAGTGAAATAGTTTTTCCTAATATCCAACCTGGACCTCCCCCACTGCAACTTGAGACCATTGCTCCTTGTTCTGTCATCTGCCACTGGCTCTGCGGATGAGGGGAAA